TTTGATCAAACCCGCCTATAATAATAAACGTTCGTTTTGGAAACTTGATTTGCAAATAGATCTTGACTTTAACACTTGCTTCGACCAGGCCCGCCTATATAATTATTTGAATAATTGATAAAGCGCTCATTAAATATATTTTACAACCAGATTCATAGATCTTGACTTTTAACACTTATTTAGATACAAGCTATTCAATAATTGATCAGTATATTTTACAAACTTGCTTTGGCAGCTTCGTATGTCGTCATACATCTTGTATTTAACAGTCTACTTTTGAATTTATTTTTTTTAGATTACACAATAAAAATTATGGAATAAATTTAATCCAATGAAATGGTTAGTATCCCATATTTTGCACAACTTGAAAAAAAGTTGATATATAAGTCATAGAATTTGTATAATAGTATCGGTCAGGGAAAAGTCATGCAATGATGAAGTACCGTGTAAGACCCCCTGTGTCCGGCTCCCTTAGGTGCAATGCCTCACTTTGGACCGGCTGTAAAGTCCCGCGTGCTAGGGAGGTGGCACTGACGTGGGTGGCTCATGTTGGGTGTTGACCCCTCGTGACATGACCCTCCCTTTTGTTAATTTTTATTATTTATTTTATTTAGTTAAGGAAACATTTTTAAAAAATTTAAAAAATTAAAAAAAGATAAATTTCGCTAATTGGTTACATTTGTAATATATGAAGATCCATCAATCAATAATATTATAATTCAGTAATTAGTAGCAACGACAACAACAAATCATCGTTTTTTGAGGATGATAAGATCCAGTTTGTATAGGAGTGATCGAAGTAAGCGTTAAGGACAAGATTTATGAAGCTTTCAAAATATTCTAACAAACGTTTTATCAATTATTTGATAGTTTATACAAGCATTAAGGACAAGATCTATGAACAAAATATTCTAACGAACGTTTTATTAATTATTCAATAGTTTATGTAGAAGTAATCGAAGTAAGTTTTAAGGACAAGATCTATTTATGAACAAAATATTCTAACGAACATTTTATTAATTATTCAAATATTTAATAGTTTGTATAGGAGTAATTGAAGTAAGCATTAAAGACAAGATCTATAACAAAATATTCTAACGAACGTTTTATTAATTATTCAATAGTTTGTATAGGAGTAATCGAAGTAAGTTTTAAGGACAAGATCTATAACAAAATATTCTAACGACGTTTTATTAATTATTTAATAGTTTGTATAGGAGTAATCGAAGTAAATGTTAAGGACAAGTCTATGAACAAAATATACTAACGAAGGTTTTATCAATCATTCAATAGTTTATGTAGGAGTAATCGAAGTAAGTTTTAAGGACAAGATCTATGAACAAAATATTCTAACGACGTTTTATTAATTATTCAATAGTTTATGTAGGAGTAATCGAAGTAAGTTTTAAGGACAAGATCTATAACAAATATTCTAACGAACATTTATCAATTATTTAATAGTTTGCGTAGGAGTAATCAAAGTAAGCTGATCTATGAACAAAATATACTAACGAAGGTTTTATCAATCATTCAATAGTTTATATAAATTTATCCTTTATTTTAACTTATATTTAATAACATCACTATAATCATTATTGTTGTTTATTGTTCTAATCATTTACATATATATTTAGCACTTGACGATGTCGAAGAAATTAGTCTAATAGATTAAATTGTGCTACTTGAGGATGTATTTAAAGGGTTGGTTTTCGACTTGGTCAAAGGACAACTCTCTTTCTAACTCTTCTCTTGACCATATCTCTTGATATAACTTCGAAACTACCTCGATATAACATAACAATAAACGAAATGATTGTCAATGAAGTAAACGTGACCAATTTAAGAGACAAATTTATTTAATAAAACAACTCAAAAAATGATATAATTGCAAAAATAAACCGAAAAAAATAAAAATAAAAAACCTACTAAAACTGTAAAAAATTACAATCATGAATTACATGAAAATTAATAGAATAACAATATTAAAGTGAAAGATTATGGGCAATGCCCTGAAGAAATTCTATGAGTGATCTATTATCGCAATCATTAAAGACTATTTGAATTCGTGCTTCATGAATGATGTTTTCTCTTCTCTGAGAAGGTTGTGGTGCACCTCGCAAAATTGATTCTATGTCAAGTTGGACTCTATTTTGTTCTTTTTGCATTTCCTTTATCATTCTGAAGACACCTAGATGAGAGACACCTACTAATGTTTCCCATCTTCGATGCCAAGCTTCTACAGAATTTTGAGTTCGAGGAAATGTATACTCAATATTATCAATAACTGACCAGAAGGTTGGTGGAAATAGTGGTGGTGCCCGTATTACATTATCATCCCTTAATATACGTCTTACTCTACCATGCACATAATTATCTTCGAACCACTGTACAATTTCATTAGCTTCTGGAGGAATATGGCCCTTTAATTCATCAAATGCTGCTGGGATATCATTTGGGGGCAAGAAAGCAAGTGCGGGAATTTGTCGAATTAGTAAACTGAAATTTTCATCAGTTCCATATTGAACACTTAGACCAGAGGCTTGTATTTTTCGATAAATGCTTTGGGATAAATGAAAAAAACATCCCTTATTTTGAACATGTTGAAATTCTCTAGATGTAGCATTAATAGCTGCTTGTTCAAAGTCTGTTAAAATAAATTGTGGTTGAAGATGGATATCATATTCAACACCAAAATCGGCCAAGTCCTGAAACAATCTCCTATAACATCTCTCTGATTTCCTGGACATTAATGCATAGACAAGTGGCATTAATCGTGAGTTTTCATTACTGCCAACACGTCCATGAATTGTATACAATTGTCTAAATAAAGTTGGAACTGTTTTAAAGGTTCCATCCATAATCCAGAAAGGGGATTGTGCCAGATATCGAACATTGACAACAGTTGTAAAGAGCAGTATTCTATCCTCATCCATAACAGAATCCTTAACCAAAAAGTCAGATCCATCTAGAGTTTTTGTTAAATCTTCAGGAATAATAAGATCATCTAAATATTCTGGTTCTGTAGGAAGACCAGAACTTCGAATTCGATGGATTGTTTGTCGGAGTGCATCACGAGTTGGAAGGTATGGGTGAATTATATGAGAACTATGAGCAGACACAGTTTGAATAATTTGTGCAGGTAGTTCACTGGTTTCATTTGCTCTCTGTTTCAAAGCATTAACTGTCTTTATAACATTGACTCGGCTTGCCTCTGCAGCATGATTATGTTCAGAAACATTGTGAAGATGATGTTCTCCTTCAATCAATTTAGTAACTGCTCGGCCATTACATTTTAGTGCAACACGTTTTTCACAACACCAGTAATATGAATCATTGCGATGTTTGTCTTTGACCATAATATAACCATGAACATTAATTTTGTCTTGGCCACGGATAGAAGAAATAGTTTCACAAACAGTATTATTCATTTTTAAAAAAGGTAGTAAAATATATGTGATATGATTATGATAAAGTTATTATTTACGATAAAGTTATCAGTGATTAAGAAAATTTTATTCTGATGTCTTTGCGAATTATAGTTATATTTATAATGAAAAAATTGTCATGTAGACAACAAGTAAACCATACTCTTTCTGAGTATCAAGTGATTGGTAACAATAATTAATTGTTGATTTTAAAATTTTTTAAACCCATCTTTGTACAAAGTAGGTTTTCGCCAAATTCCTTTATATTACAAAAATTTTGGAAAAAAGTAAACACATTTATAATTGTTTGATAAATCAGATATATTGTATACTCTTTCGAATTAGCAAGTGATCTGTAACAATAATTAATTGTTGATTTTAAAATTTTTTAAACCCATCTTTGTACAAAGTAGGTTTTCGCCAAATTCCTTTATATTACAAATTAAAGATGTGCTAAAATTTTGGAAAAAAGTAAACACATTTCTAATTGTTTAATAGATCAGGTATATTGTATACTATTTCGAGTTAGCAAGTGATCGGTAACAATAATTAATTGTTGATTTTAAAATTTCTTAAAATTAAATACTAACCAAAATTATCAAATGTAAAAAAAAATTTATTATTATTGTTTTTTAAAAAACAAGTTTATAGAGCATGCATAGTTATGATGCTAGCCAAAAATTGACAAAATTATTTATTTATTTAACACGATATTATTATTAATATTAAAGTATACTTTTGTAATTAAAGCACAAAATTCATCTGATGGCTTAATTCTAAGGTTTCTGGTCTAATATACCTACCTCTATATAAAAAACGTTGAAAAACCCAAATTGACAAAATAGTTTGAGCTTTGAGAAACAGTTTGGACTAGAAACCTTACTTGATTGTCAGACCCATTTAATCGTACGATTTTAATAATAGCAAAAACTAATTTCGATTTAATGATTTAGCGTAACATACGCATTGCACTGTTTAGTATCTACTACTACCATTTAATTTATTTATTATTAGTATAATTTTCAGTAAAATGAACTGTCGGTGAAGTGAACTGTCGGTAAAATGAACTGTCGGTAAAGTGAACTGTCGGTAAAATGAACTGTCGGTAAAATGAACTGTCGGTAAAATGAACTTTCGGTAAAATGATTGTCGGTAAAATAATACGTCGGTAAAGTGATTGTCGGTAAAGTAATACGTACCCTTCGCAATTGTGACATTCTGGCTTGCGCTTCATTTTCTGGCACTGATAAGGTAGACTGATTATTTAAGATAGAATGATGTACGGTTTTCGATTCCGATAAATTTCCACCTTTAGATAATTCCGCACTAGAATTGTCCTTCTTTTTTCTGCTAGTCTTTTTTGACACTGGTTCGCTCGAATAAATTACTTGCTCAGAATTTCCAACACTTGATGAGCTATGCTTAGGAGAGATTTCTAGTTGGGGTGTCGAGATAGATGAGTCATTAAAAGCCATTTCTATTCCAGGTGGATGAGGATATATCCGACCATTTACAATATCATCATATCTATCACTACCGATTTTATAATCTCTACATATTTTGCATTTTCTATTTGGTATCTTTTTTGCCTCCACGTCCCTTATTTTTTGGATATTTTCGGGAGACAATTTGGTGGCATTGGAGTTGAGATATGTTCGAACTCTGGATTTAGTTCAGGTTTCAACCATTTTAGAAAAATATATAATGATATAAAAAAAAAATGTCTGATTTAAATCCAGGCAAACACCCATTTATTCCTAGTATGTTATCGAGCAAGAATTGAGTAATAATCGGGCACAAATCAGGCAAAACCCAGGTAATAATCAGGCAAAAACTGGGTAATAATCAGGTATTAATTAGTAAAAAGCTGATTCGTAATTAGTTTTCTTTGATAATAATTTTTTTGTTAAACATAATTCTATTTAATTATATGGCACCAATACATACCTTAAATAGTGGATCTACCGTTGCCGAAAATTTTCAAGGGCGTGGATATAAATTAGATAGCACTAGAGAACGTGAACTTGAATCTGAACGTAATGAGTTACTCATTAAAACTGAATTTTTTGCTAATAAATGTTCTGATTTTAGAAATGCCAAAGTGCTTGCAGAAACACGATCAGATGGGCTTGAAAAAGAGTTGAAATCAAAAAATGAAAAGATTTTGCGTCTCCGGAAAGAGTTAAATCGAACCAGCGATGCCAAAATACAAAATGACTCGAATATAAAACAATTCAAAGAAGGAATCAAACAACTCAAAGAAGAAATCAAACAGTTACAGAGTAAAAACACTAATCTTGTATCCCATTATTCTCTTAAAGAACTTTCTCTTACTGGATATCAAACCAAGTATTACAAAAAAATGGAAGAGGCGACCTATCTTCAATCTAGAATAAAGTTATTGGAAGAGAAATTATTTTCGGCTCAGAATGATTCATCTCTAATAAAATCCGAGTTTTTGTCTCTCAAATCTAAATTAGCTGAATTGGATCAAACAAAAGATGAATTGGTGCAAACAAAAGATGAATTGGTACAAACAAAAGATGAACTATCTTTAAAAATCGATGAGGTGGAACGTTTAAAATTGGAAGCCATATCTCAAAGTTTGCATGATCAAATAAAATTTCCATCAGATAAAACAATTGCTGGGGGGTATGAGCCTCAAGAAAACGTTTCTAAAGTATCTAATATTCCAGTTGATAATAAATCTAGTTTAGATACAAAATATCCTGCTCCAGAAAAAAGTCTTCGTAAATATTTACGTGAAAATATAAAAATGCAACTACGAAAACCAGAAGTTTCAGCTACGTCTCCCGAAATAAAAATTGTTGATACTAATTCTCCAGATAAAGATAAGTCTGGTACCTCTTCATTTAAAGACGATACATTACAAAATATCAAGCCAATAAAGATCGACGTTCCCAGTGGAAATATTCCCAACTCCTCTTTGGATAAATCGAATTCTGGGATTTCAGTGGGAGGAACAGAAGCAATTCCTGCTATGACAAGCGTCTTAGGTTTACCAAAAACGGTATGGCTATTGCTTGTTTTGTTTATTATTATTGTTGTATGGGTTAGATCTATATGGAAAGCAAAGAAAAAAAATGAAAACCGGGATCATACGAATACATTTTTATTTAATTGATTCTTTAATCCAGTAATACGCAAAGGTAAGAACAAATTTTTTAATCCAGTAATACGTAAAGGTAATACGTAAAAGTATGATCCAATTTTTCGATCCAGTATTACGCAAAGGTAATACGTAAAAGTATGATCCAATTTTTTGATTCAGTAGTACGCCAAAGTAAGAATAAAATTTTCGAATCGGTAGTACGTCAAAGTATGATCCAATTCTTTAATCCAATAATACGCAAAAGTATGAGCCAATTTTTCAATCTGGTAGTACGTCAAAGTATGAACCAACTTTTTGACATGAAGTGGTAGCACACCAAGGTATTTTTTTTGGTAGTACGTCAAAGAGAGAAATTTTTCAGGAAAGAGGGGAAAATCGGTAGTATATAAAGTGATATGCAAAAGGCCAAAATTTTTCAAATCGGTAGGACGTCAAAGCACCAACTACACGAGAAAGGCTTCCAGAGACGTAAAACATAGCGTACTCGCGGTAGTACGTCAAGGTATAATTATAGAAATATATATTATAGAAATTATGCTTTGGCGTACTACCAAGTGAGATAACAATTCGGCACTTTGTGCCTCATCCTCGATTGGTATTCGAATGCGTCATGCAAAACCAGATCATGAATACTATTTTGGCACTACGTACCTCACCCTTGATCAGCATTCGAATGCAACGTAAAAAGCCAAAATACAGATTGCCAATTCGGCACTTTGTGCCTCATCCTCGCAATCGAAAAATTGGCTGATCGTCAGGAAATGTAGTATAGGAGATACATATTTTTTTTTTACGAATTGGTTTTTTGGTCCAAAGTGGGGGGATAGAGGTTCTATTTATACGTTTTTGTAGTAATTTATTAGACTACTAGTACGACGCAAATTCAAACTCGTTGTATCTCAAAGTACGACGCAAATGCAAACTCGTCGTACCTCAAAGTACGATGAAAATACGAACCAATCGTATAAGTAGGTAACAGTATAGTGTAAGTAGGTAACAATATATATATATATTGTTACCTACTTACACTATACTGTTACCTACTACTTGGGATCTTTTACCTCAATTCCATCTTGAGTTAGTTTTTCAAGCTTTTTCCGGTAGTATTGCTCCATTTTTCGATGTTTTCTAGCATGGATATCACAGGTACTATATTTGGAAAAGGTCAACTTACCACATTCTTTGCAAGGAATGCGTATAGGAGAGTCCCAGTGTATTTGACACCCCTCAGTCCTATAGCAACCCCGATTGCAAACTTCTCCAGTCCTAAGTATGTATGAACAACAATAAAATGCCATATTTTTATAATGTCTGATCAACTATATAGTATGTATTGATTATTATATTTCGGATTTAATTTTCATTTTGAAGTTTTTTATCTTGAATAATATATTAGCAAAATAGTGAAAGCTAGCACGGCTAAAATGACTACCCAAAATTCTCAACTGCAAAATTCCGTTTTTGAATCCTCCTTCAAGGACAATAACACCAATTCGTCATTTTTTTTACCATGGACACAATGCCGAGTGCGTTAAAGAATATTTGTATAAAATTTGTGACGATAGTGTAAGACCAAGAGATTTCCTTGGCACAGATACCAAAGATGGAATAGAATCTATACTCAAAGATCATAAAGGACACTCATTACATGAGTATATTGATGGAGATGATCCACTCCGTCCTTTTATTGATTTGATTTGCCTCAAGAAATATTTGATAAAATCAAACCGAAACTTACAGGAAAAGAGATACAAAACTTACTTTGTGGTGCCTTTAAAGAAGTCTGTCTAGAGATATATCCAGATTGGGATAAAACCACTCTGACTATTGCTAGTAGTAGCGATTCGAAAAAAATATCGCTCCACATTTCGACTTTCGGTCTCCGACTCAAAAATATTTCCAAAGTTGCAAAATTTACTGAGCTTGTACGAAAAAAGCTTCCGATAGCTTTACAAAGCAAGAATATTGTCGATAACATAGCAAATAAAAAATCATTTTCTTTACGGATTGTTGGAACACCAAAATTCATCGAAAAAACTAATGAGCATGTACGAGTAAAGAAAGCACTATATCCAAAAGATGGATCTATTTTTGATTTTATGCTTCGTCCTCCTCATGATGAATCGCCAGTTATAGATAGTTCTCTCTTATCTATCTCGGAGTACGTAGCAACAAAAATTTCTAACACATGTACTACTGAGGATGTTGAAATCGAACTCAATTTGGTTGCAAAATTATTAGAAGAATTCGAAATTGAAGGATACGAAGTTTCATGTCCACATGAAAGTTTTCCTGATACTTTTCCTCTTAAACGGGTAACTCCAGCATTTTGCCCATTATGTTATCGAGAATATGGTTATAAAGATCCACATACAAGCGATAATGCATATGTTATCCGAAACAAAAAATCGTATAGTTTCTATTGTCATCGTGCGAATAATAGTAGGGAAGCTGGATCTAGAAAACCTTCAATAAAGTTGACCATTAAAGAAAAAACTTCGGAACGAGAAGAGAGCCTTCTGGTTCCAGAAAAAATAAACCAACCTAGAATAACGGATCCAAATGATCGTTTTGTATGGGGCGACTTAATTGACATGTGTTCATCGGGAGAAAAGTATACCCGTAATAAGGTTTACGAAGCTATCCAAGCAACAATTGCATATATCGATAGAGGTAAAAAGTTTTGGATATTTAAAGTTGAAGATGAAGATGAAGATGGCGGGCTTACCTTTGAATTTGTACCCAAACTAGAACTTGCTAATTATGAGATTAATATAATCGAATTTGGAGGAGAATCAATAAAGTTAAGATCATTAATAGATCGAGCAGTTACCAAAAGTCTAATTCGTTATCGCAAAATCAACTTTCTTCCATACCCACCAAACGTAATTCCACCAAAAACAAATTTCTTTAATCTTTTCCTGGGATTTACAGCTACACCAGCACCAGAAATTAATAAAGAAATTATGGATCCTATCCTTTGGCACGTAAAAAATGTAATTTGTGATGAAAATAATGAACTTATCGAATATATCTGGAACTGGTGGGCATTCTTAGTGCAAAAACCAGAAAAAAAACCTCGTTCAATCTGTGTATTAAAGTCTACTCTTCAACAATGCGGAAAAAATATTATCATTGATTTTATTGGCGATAAAGTCTTAGGACCAAAGCTCTATTATGCAACATCTGATTTAGGGAAAATTCTTGGAAAATTCAACAGTCTTATTCAAGGTAAAAAGTTAGTAGTTATGAATGAGACAGGGATGGCTAGCGGAGAATGGCATAAATTTAACGAGCATCTTAAAGCACTCATAACGGAACCAAAAGTGTCTATAGAACGTAAAGGTCTTGAACCTATTCATTTAAAAGATTACTCTGCATTTATGGTTACAAGCAATCAGGATGCACCACTTAAAATAGATGCAGGAGATGCTCGTATAGTTTGTTTTGATGTATCTGCACGCTGTAGAGGGAATATACCATATTTCAAACGTTTGGCTAAAATACTAGAACATCCAGATGCACCAGGAGTAGTTATGAGATATCTTTTAAATCGTGATTTATCTAATTGGGATCCACAAGATATTCCTAGTACCAAAATGAAAACAGATACAATGATGAAGCAACTTTCTAACCCTATACGCTTTGTAATACAACATATTTCATCATGGTCTGAGAATCAAATCGAAAAACCAATTTGCGGAAATCTATATCAAAATTATATCACTTGGTGTGAAAGCAATGGCGAGGGACGAATCAGTAACAATAAATTTGGAGGTTTTCTCCCACCAATAGGAATAGAGAAAAAACAGGTACGAGTTAATGGAAAAAGGGAATCCATTTACATCATCGACCGTTCCAAAATAGTAGCTAAGTTACGCGAATCCATTGGCGATATCGAAGATTTTGAGTTGGAAACTCATGGCCTTTCCACTTCTGATATTTCACAAGATAGCTTACCTACTAAAACTTCTATGGCAGAAATCCCAGTATTTAACGTTCCTGAAACAAAGGAAGAAGAAAACGAACCGGAAAAAATAAATACTGAAAAAATAAAATCAGTCCCTTCAGAACAATCCAATATATCATGTAATATAAAAACCGTTACCAATATTAGCGATCAAAATTCAGATCCAAATTACATCAACAATAATCAGGATAAATCGCTTGATGAACCTGTTGTAAATTCTTCCAAAATCATTGAAACCCTTGAAGCTGTTAGCAATGAATTGGAAATATCCTCCAACATATCTGAAAGCGATAAAACCGAAAATGCGGAGCATAGAGTCTCTGACTCATCTAATAACGAAGAAGATACATCAAAACCAGTTCCATTACCATCCGATTACTTGACCCGGGAACAACGAGAAAAACGTCTAAGGCAATGGGCGATCGATCATAGCGAGGATCCAGATATCTTCATGACTATTACTGAAAAAGATATTAATTTATCTAGAATATACCGAGATAGAATGATCTCTGATGCAGATATGATCCAATTTGCAAAAGATAGCGATGATGATCCAAATACATTAATGGAAATGAAAAGACGAGAAAGATTAATAAGTGAGGAAATTATGTTCC